TTTTCCGTATTCCGATCTCATTGTGTATTTTCCATATATTATAATCCGACTAATCCTTGTTTTTTCCTTTGTATTTTATCACAGGGCGGACCCATTGTAATACTAATCCTTTCCTTTCCACTATATTTGATCACAGGGCGGACCCATTGTAATTACCTTGATTCCGTTGTATTTATCTATGAATAAACCCCGTTCCTATCGGTTTTAACCTTTAAAAAACACTTGTCCGATTTATTCCCGATCCTTTCAAGCGATTACCTCACTGAGCGAACTAAGATCTTGTCCTCCTTTCCTCCAGACGGTCCTGGAGCTGAGCATATTCGGCACATAGGAGGAACGGATGATTCCTTTTACCGACACGCAGCACGTCAAACACCGACCGCGAGAACGCCAACTCTTCCAACCGTTAGTCGGAACCGCGCGTCCGACTAATTTCCGTATTTATTCGCGTAATAAATAATAACCGCCGGAGTCCTGTCCGGAAACCAGAACCGGGAAGAGTTGAGCATACAAACGAACCATTCGTTACACCTTAATTTTTACTCCAACCACCCAATCACCCAAAAAAGAGCGGTGGCAATTTCATTCATTGACAGAACATTTTCACTATCACATCCTTCTTTTCACAGACAATTTAAACTTAACTATTTCACTTTTACTATCAAATGGTTACCCCTTAGAATTTATATTTAAAACTTTCACTACCAGAATTCATTATCTTATTGACACAGTTGCCAACATTCACGACAACAATACTAACACCAGCAACTCCAATATGAAGTCGTTCCTTTCCATCCCATATGTGCCGGATAGCTCCAATCGTTTTAAACCGCTTTCCTCGAACTTATTGTTAGACAAAACAATTAGTTTCTATGGTTTCAATAAGTTAAATAATGTGACTAAAGTACATAAAGACGTTGTATCACACGCATCCAATTCCGATGTGGTTTATCAAATTAAGTGCATGGACTGTGATGCGACTTATACAGGTCAAACAAGCAGACTCTTATCAACAGGCATTAAAGAACATAGTAAAATTAATTTCAATAAGCCATCGGTATTACATGAACATATTATACAGAACAATCATGCATTTGATTTTGATAATGTTAGAGTACTAGATCAAGAACCGTTTTATACTAGACGCCTGTTCCGTACCGGACATTCACCGTTAGCTTTGCGAACGCACGAAGCGTTACCAGCGCCCTCACATGTTCTTCTTGCGTGCCCACTCGCGCGATCACCAGCGCGTATTAGTATTCTCGCTTACGCAACTGAGACGAGTCGCATCGGCAACCATTTTCCACCGATACCGATACCAAGTTCAAGGTGTATCAAAAACACGACTCTACGCGAGAGCTCGTTGAGAATTGCTCGTCGCAGTACACCGGACGATTGTAAGCTTCCTAATAAATACATATTAAAACCGAGAAGAATCATTTCTTCGACCACGCGGCTACGAAGCAATCCTACCGCGGCCATTGCGTGGAAAAGGCTCAGCAGAGCGATCATAGCATCGGTCTTGCGAGCCACCAATACTAAACATCTTTGGTCCTTCGAGCTGGATCCGTCAAGGATTCCACGGCAACGGGGAGCTCTGCAGCGTCCGGAAGAGCATAACCTCCACCAGCACCATTAGCCTGGTGGCATCAAGCGTACGAGAGACCGCTTCCTGCGTCTTCTGGAGGCTTCGGCGCATGCCAGTCGCACACCGGAAGAGGCGAATCTGCATCCTGAGACTTCCAGAGACATCGGCGCATGCCAGTCGCTCACCGGAGGAATCGAGCCCGCATCCAGCAACGTCTGGAAACTTCGGCGCATGCCAGTCGCACACAGGAGGGAGCTAACCTGCCTATCACCAGGGCAACCGTCGGCATCACCAGGAGGCCACCGCAAGACGGCTCGAGGCAGCATTGGGAACGAATCACGTCGGGGTCACCCTTTAAACTATAACCATACTGGAAGGAGCACTCCATTGTTGTCGTGCGGTCCGAACGGTGCGAGAGGGATAGTTGAATGGCAATGGAGCTATTCTTGTCTAACTAACTACAGCGATCATGTGACTCGATATACTACACAGTCTGAACACATTTGCTTTCGCAATTTTACTCTAATTTGCTTACTTGTGTAATGATAAATTCATATCTTTATCACGTGTCTTAAGATAATTTTTTATATAACATTCTCTTCCCATTTTTGATAGATATACACTTTTTGGTTGTCACCACTATACGAGAACAAATCTGAACCAATGTTTTCATCCGCGGTAGTTGACGTTAAAAAGAGACATTACCATTGCCATTCAACTATCTCTCTCTGACCGCTCGATCCTATGGAGGGGGTAGGCAGTGCTCCTTCCAGTATGGTTATAGTTCAATGGGGTCACCACTCGCGGCGGATTTCAAGGGCATCACCATTGCATCAGGGCATCATTCAACGCGGACATTTTCCCTCTGCGCGTTTCGATTCAGGTAAGGGTAATCATTCAGAGGAATCACACTGCCAAATCGAGTCGTAACCGTTTAAGTACCATCCACCGTCGTACAATGGCAAGCGAGCAAGATATTACTGCCCTCAAAAGGCGTCGCGTAGTAATTCAAGGTGCATGTACGCGAACCAAAACCTTTGTCGAATCACTCGAAACTATTATACCTTCCATAGCGGCGCAACTAGAAGAACGTCGAACTAAATTAAACGATAATTGGTCTGAGTATCAAAATGTACAGTTACAGATAGAAATTTTTGACAAGGGCGAATCAAACCACCGCGCCGGTTTCGAAAATGCATTTTACATTCTAGCAGCCAGAATACGCGAGTTACTGGCACCACAGGTCCTACCGCGAAACCAAACCACGCCATCCCCTTCCCTTTCAAATACGTCTGAAATACCGAGAGCGACTACACACGTAAAATTACCTAAATTAGAGCTCCCGGTCTTTTCGGGCAAATACGAAGAGTGGACACCATTTTTTGACGCTTTTTAGTCAATCATACACGCTAACGCCTCCATCAATGAGGTGCAAAAATTGCAATACCTGAATGGCTGCTTGAGGGATGACGCGAGTAAGGTTATCAATTCTTTAGAAATTTCGGCTCTGAATTATGAAGTGGCTTGGAACTTATTAAAGGAACGGTATGACAATAAACGAATCATAGTACATAACCACATAAAGGCCATCATGGACTTGCCGTGCATGACTAAGGAAAACCTTACAGAGTTACGTCAAATTGCGGACGGTGCCACAAGGCATGATTAAGAATTACATTTCGTTGACCTCCAACGAGCTCGATATATTGCAGAACGCTGGATGGGGTGAGCCAAACGTTTCCGATAGCGGCTCTTTCAGCTTATGCGTCCCCATGAGAATATTATTAGGCTTTTGCGAGGATTACAAACGCGTGGTGGTGAACGCTCGACACGAACTTATTTTGATACGCGCGCGCAACGATAACAATTGCATCGTAGCGACAGCGAGTGCTAAGAATCCTAAAATCGTTCTTTCGAGGGTGCAATGGCGAATGCCGCACATTGTGTTGAACGACGTTAACAAATTGTCGCTTTTTCGAACACTGGAGAGCGGACGATTTTTAAACGGTGGATTTCGCTCGTGGGATCTGTAGGAATTTCCTTTACTGCAGAACACGACCAAGCACTCGTGGGCTGTAAAAACCACGGCGCAACTAGAGAAACCGCGATACGTTATCTTTGCGCTACAGACTGGACGAAGAAACGTGTTGACAAGCGACACTTCGACTTTCGATCATTGCAAGCTCACCAACGTAAAACTGTATTTGAATTCAGATTTTGTATCCCTATGACGATATGAATCTGGATATAGATAATAATAAATTTGCTGTACTGTACGACATGTAGGCAAAATTTCAGAGATCGTACTATGGACGAAAGCTCGATGATGCGTATCTAAATGTAAAATCATTCATACGTCCGGCCCATTCGTGGTGATCGATTGCTCTCGTCAGAACGAGGCCACTGTGGACATTCGCGTAGAGTTTGAATGCAAGGATAACGTTCCATCCAAGGATAAGACACCACAGCGTATTGTCTTATCATTCATGATCGAGTCATTCAGTACAGCCCGTTGACGAACGTCGTACGCAAGATTGTGTAGCGGTGAAGGATCGACGTACAGTGGAAAGTATACAATTTTCATCATTACTGGTGACAATAAGCAAACTCTCCTTCGTCGAAAGTACATTTTTGTACGAGAAGATGGATACGTTTGCCACCAGTGAAGACCAGCTGGTTCTTCAACACGCTATCAACCTCTTTCAAGAATACTACAGATTACCTGTTACTGGTAAAGTGGACAACGCAACTCTAAGCATGATGAGTAAACCGCGATGCGGTCTACGTGACATATAGAATTTCGGAGAGGGCAAAGTTATACCTAAGTGGCCGAAACGACACTTAACGTGGAATTTTCACTTGGCCAACAGAGCGCTCTTGGATACAACTCAGGCAGCGTTCGATTTGTGGCAGAAACATTCGTCGCTAACATTTGAACGTGCTGTTGAAAACCCAAATATTCTTATATCGCGAAGGCCGTCATACGTTCCTCGATCGTCGAAACGGTGAATTGTGCTGGAGCGTTTTGGACGGTCCCGGCGGCACGTTGGCTCACGCGTTCTATCCCAATGGAGCGTCGGATTTCACGTCGGAGGTTCACGTCGACACGATGGAACAGTGGCATATACAGGGTGATTCAAAATAGGTATAGTGTCCCTGAAATGTCGTATTCCTGATTAAATTCTAAGACGATTTTTCTCTTACCAAAATGTCCTCCGAAGCTTAGTTTTTGAATTATTAAAAGAAACAGTCAGCGAATAACTGGCCGAGTACAAGAGGCAGACAGGAGCGGCGCACCGCCGCGGCACCCGGCGGCTTACGCGGGGCGGTCAGCTTAGCGATCAGCTACAGCGTTGCACACGCACCTCTCTCTCTCTCTCTCTCTCTCTCTCTCTCTCTCTCTCTCTCTCTCTCTCTCTCTCTCTAAGAGCAGAAGAGACATACGAGAGT